CCCTTTATTCTCTAAGTCCCCCATGCAGTTTCACTTAAGACTTGCAGACCTCAGTTTCTTGTGTGCTGTTAAACAGTTGCCAACTTTCAACCCAAAAGTGAGGGAAGGGGTTCCTAGATAGAAGTGCATTCATTGTGTACAATGATTTGGAATTACATGATTGTATTGTTGTAAGGTATTATTTGTCATGAGCATGAAACATATTCAGCATTTTATTTGTTTCCAATAGCTGGTGCTTCAGTTATTTGTAAAAACTTTTTTTAGGCTCCCTCTTTATCACTGCTTTGAGTGCACATTCAGGGTCATAAAGAATGGTATAACTATTGCTAAGGTAAGCTGCTCTAAAAGGAGGCCTTTAGTTTCATATTAGCTCCAGTTTCACCAAACAGCTCTGTTTCTCTTTTGATCTTGCTTTGCTCATTACTGGATGATTTCAATAACACTGTAATTGCACAGTTGTACAGTTTTCTGGAAGGCAAGTGCTCATGTTTTAGATTGATCCTCATAGGCTTACTAGAAGTAAGTTTGTGAACAGAAGACTATAACTGAGTCTTATTATGAATAAGAACATTGCCAAGAACTTTGTCCCTTGATGTATCCAATAATATCCCCACATAAAATATATTTTTCCCAACTTCTAGCTGATTTGCCTGACTTTAAATTATCTCTGGGTAAAGAGTTGCCTCACAGTCTTCTTCACAATTCACAATTAACTCAATTTATAGCCCCTACAACTTTTAGGCACACTCATTCACACAAAAAGAGCTAGCTCTTCAGGTCAGAGGTTGTCTCCTGGTTCTGTCCATTATCTAGTAGTAATGGAAACTTATTTTTTATTGGATCCATGGGTCATATTGCAGTTTAAATTCTAAATAATAATGACTACTGATTTTAATGTGCAAATGCTTCTGGTTGTGCAAAGTTAGGCTTTTGATTGGTCAAGCATATACATTTTTTCAGGCACAATTATAAAACTCCTTTGAAAATTTGGCATTTGAAGTACATGTTTACTCCTAGTGAATAATAAAATAGTTTTCTCAACTTTTCTATACTTTATACTTTGAAAGAAGATTATGGTCAAATGTTTTAGAGTTAATACATATAGTCTATGAGACTACCAACTTAATGGAATTTCATGGAGCTTTTGTATCCCATAAAATTTTTACATGTATCTTTTGTTAACAGACAAGAAAAAATATGTATAAATAATGGAAAAGTTGGGAACTAAATAATCAGACGTGCTGGAAACCTAGCAATCGTACACATTTTCAATATAGTGATCTAAAGTCCAGTTCACTGTGTGAACTGCTTCAGCTCAGCTTTAGTAAATTTTTATTGACCTGTACTGTCTGCAGTCCTGCTAAAATCTCAGAATTACCTGAATTTAAGGGTCCTAGTCAAACTTTTTGCATAGACCTACTGACAATTTTATAATTGTTTAATGGTATTTGATCATCCTTGCAAACTTATATTGTATGGGAGAAACAGCTCTTTTGAAAATATTATTTAAGAGAAAGACTAGACTATTTCCCTGGAGAAATTTACATTTGGGCTCTTCCATTTTAGAGTGTTTTACTTTAAGCATATATAAGAACTAAGCCATTTCTTTGACCCACTTAATTTATCATGTAAATACAGTACATATTTGTGAGATTTTGTGCTGAAAGTATTAATCCTTTGCAGTATAATATAAAATTTGTGTGAAACATAATTACTGTGTCAAGTCAATCAATTCAGTAAATAGTAATTCAAGCTTTTAGGAATGTGTATTTTAAAAAATTAGGAGTTATTAGAAAGTATTTTACACCAAAATATTTGCCAAATTTTTGCAACAGGGTGGAAATATAGATGAACCACTAATGAATTTCTTCAGTTATCTTTTTCACCTCTTTTACAAATTACAAAAATTGCACTTAATAGAGTGGTAGAAAAAGTAACTTATGAATTCAATGAAACTTTGCTAAGTTTTCATGCAGAGAGAACTTTTATGAATACATTTGTACACATCTAATTTTGGGGTTATCAAGTCCCGTGAGGACTTTTACACATGCATGACTTGTGACCCATGCTCTTCAAGCTAATGAAATGGATTATAAGGTAAAGGTAAGCATATGCTTATGGCAGGATCAATAAGAGGCCAATGAAAAAATATTATTTTTTTTATAATACTTAAGTACATCACTAATAAGGGAGCAATAAGAGAAATCACTAATATGTTGTTTATGACTGATGGCCTAAATAAGCAGCCTAATTTTTACAGAGCATAACACCTGTAATTCAAGTTCAGAAACATAGCACATTATCATTAATTAGCATTACGAAAAGGAGGGCAAAAACTGAAACGTTATTCCTTTGGTGTGGATAAGAATCTAAACCGAAGAGAGTGATCATTTAAATATCTTGCCACTTATAAGGAAACATACATTAAATTAATAGAAATAGAGTACAATGAAACAGTTAAAAAAAGGTGTGGTTCATTGCTGAACACCAATGCTACATTTGATTGTGAAATTGTTAGCTTTTTTGGATATTAGGTGCAAAAAGTGCAAAGAATATTCAGTCAACTATTACAGTATCACATTACAAAAACTAACTTCTGGGGCAGAAATCCCCTTTTCTGATTTACTTTATATTAAGAGAAATGGATAATCAAAATAGTTTTTATTCTCTAGGCATATACCTACTTATTAATATCAGCTTGGCACAAAGCACGGTGAAAACTTCCAAACCCAGACACAAGACCCCAGGATGGTGATAAAAAGAAATAAATTATAGTTTATTCCCTCATTTAAAAGAAGTTACTCACCTGGGCAAGTGGATAAGTAGAATTTTGCAAGGCTGTTGTGTATATATAATTATTAAAATACAATTTTGAGAGTTGTTATTCTCTGGGACAAAAACCAAAATCTTTCTAGGGAAAATATTTTTTAGGACTCATTAAAGGTGAACTTCAAGGATTTTTTTTTAACTTGGCTTTGTTTGTTTTTGTAATTACTTTAGACAAGATGTTTGCCTTAGAAATCTCTCAAATGTCAAGTCAAGTCAAGTCTTTCCTAGTTTTGATGGAGGACTTGACGCATACCTCAGTGCAAATTTATTTTGAATTACTGCATCTTAATTAAATAGCTGGAGGTGGTGGAACTTCATACATAACTTGTGTTTATCTAAAATGTTACTCATTAAAGTAAAATAGGTATTAACAAAAGCAATCAAATCAAAAAGGCTAAAACTTCCTTCCCTGTTACTATTTTTGTGACTTCTGTGGTGTCATAATTTGCAAGTTTTCCCATCCTATTAGGGTATTTCTGTATAGACAGGAAATAGACATTCCTAATGTAACAATCCCAAACCCTTCTGATTTATTTACACATCATAAAAAATAGGGAACAACTTTGATTATTTTTCCATTGAAGTTCACATTTAAAGTCCAGGGTCCAACCCTGCAGTCTTTGTAACATCTCTACTCAGAAAAAAACAACTGCCTCACTGAGGTAAATGGGAATTTTCTCTAGAATTGGATCAATACTGAAAAATAGCATTGTGCAGTTTTTAAACTAACTCACTTTAACTAAGATCTTTTTGTGTTTACTTTCATTGAATAGTCTAATAGTTGATTTTACAAGAAGTAATGTTCTTGAAGTAGTAAGATTTAAGTTTGTACCACCTTATATTGACAGAAAGCATAATCAAAGTCTTTTATGTGGAAACCTGCATATACATGCATTCACCCAATCAGGAAATAGAAAGCATACCATGTAAGTTATGTGTCCTGTCAAAATAATTGGCTAACAAATACTACATTATTGTTAAAACGTCTTTTGAATGAATGACAAACCAAGAATCAAAGTTATGTGAGGCATAACAATGATTAATGTTATGTAGAAACATATACTAGGTAAAAATAATGTTTGTAGAAAATATGTAATAGGTAAAAAATATTGAAATATATTATTCATTTTACACTATTATCTCAGCTACAGTTTTCCCTGAGTAAAGACTGCATAAGGACTGCATGATTTACCCCACCAAAAATTAGACCATGCTTTTCTCACTAGATACATGCAGTAAGCGGATACCTTGTACAGGGCCATAGTGACTTCACTGGGACTTAACATGGCTGTCAATATGGCCTGCAGAGTTAGACCAAGATGCACTGGCAAGGGGTAAGTCCTGCCTACTTGTGCTCTTTCCCAACATGTCCAAGTCTGCTAATTAGGCATAAGCACCTGCTCCCAGGCATGAAAAGGTGGGGTTTATCTCTCAGCAGCACTCCTTGGCTAACTGTGTAGACTTGACTACTACAGATGCATCTGTTGACCACAGAGTCCCATTATGGTCAATAGGGTCTTGGATTGTTGTAAGGTTCCAACTGCATGTTTTCATTTACAGGTCAAGTCAACAGGTCTTGAAAGCCCAATGAAGCCAACAGGAGCTTTTCTATTGACTTGACTGGGCTTTGAATCAATCTCACAGTAAACAAAGTAAAATAAAAAGAAATAATAGGAAAAAACTGACATGATGTGGTCAGAATTGTTTTTTTCCAGCACATCAAGTGCCAAATGCTTTCTTTAATAGTCATAATAGTGCTTAGTGCAAAATTTATCATTTAGAGGCAAATTACAAAGTAAGTGCTGTGTGTGACAATCTGTGTTACCTTAAAAGGAACAGCACCCTAAGTTGCGTTTTCTTTGAAGTTCTGAATAGTTTCTCTGATTTACTTGTTTATGCAAAGATATAGGTCATATCAAAATACTACTTATATTGACAGAAACATGTCAGAGAGACTGTTTGTCAGAGGAAGGACTGTTTTGGCTCAATTTAACTTCATTCATAAGTTAAGAAATTATTATAAACTGTAATATAAGACTTAGAATAGGAAAATGTATTTTGATACAAAAATATGGATACAGTTCATCTGCGGAAGCCAAACCTTCTGTTACTGTAGGTATGAGCTACATGGGAGCTTGGCCACCGGACGTGGTGAATCCTTTTCTTGTGCCCTAGGGTGTAGGAGGTGGTTTTGGTGATGAACAAGACCCCTGGCTATCAAAACTGGTTGCTCGGCCAGGTAACTGGAAGAAAAGTTTTAGTTTTACAAACATCATCAGATTTGCCCATTCAGCATGATCATTTCTGAGGATGAGAGAATCATAAGGATCCTCTCCAAAGGAAGGGGCTGAATCAGAATAATATTCCATCTCTTTTTTTCTTTTAGATAAACAAAACATGCTTTCAGATAAATAAATTTAAGCTAAGTTTGTGTGGTCCATGCCAGCCCTTCCTGCAGAAGGAACCAAGGGAAAGAAAGGTTAGAGGGGAAACTCCTAAGGGACTCTTTCCATGTGGAGGCAGTCTGCTTCACCATCTAGTGAGCTGCAGTTCTGTCTTCAACCCCTTCATATAGCCCAGTGAATTCAGAGGAGGTTAGGGACCTCCAAGCAGAGACCCATTTGCTGTTGTGGCACCAGATTCATATTTGTCACACATTTCCTGAGATTTCAGCTCCACTGGGGCCATCATCCAGGGCTCTCCCTAGTTGCCACTTCTTTGGTATTTTTCTTTAAGACTGAGTTCCACAGCATAGAGCCACAAAAGAGTTAATGCTTAAAAGTTGCATCAGCTCTCAACCTGGCATCTCTGTAAAGTTAAACAGAAGGGAAAAAGTGCATAGTGCCCCCAGTCTTGGTCTGCTGCCATATCACCATAATTTACTTCATGACCCACTGCAATCCTAATTAAGATAGCATACACATAATGAAGGCAGGACATGAAGGGGTAGACTGAAGGCATATTTCTTGAAAAAAATCCAGGAAGCTGCACACATCATTTTCCATGCATTAAGATAAGAAGGTTCAAATAAATGACTGTTTTAGTATCTCTGGATGTGGCTACCCCATGTCAATATCATCAATAGCACAGTCTGAAATTGATATATTTTAGCTACACAGCCCCAAATATTGCTAAAGACCTTAAATAGAAAATGACTGCCCTTGAAACATTTACAGCTACCACTTCAAAGTGATTTTAAGGAACTCTTGATAGTATAAAAATAAACATGACGTAGTATGTAAAAATATTGTAAAGACCTTTATGTCAATACCTTGACAGCAGAGAGGCAATCTCTGAAATAACATATCTAGATCAAAAGTAACCACCCATAATTGGGGCCTCACTGAAAAGAACAGCAAAGGCTAATACACGTGAGCTGTGCCATGTATTTTTTGTGACAGTCCATTACTCAGGGAAAATTCGCTATGCAGGCATAAGAATGTTCCGCTTTTACTCAGGTAAGTGCAGGACAGCTGAGCAGGTAAAACCCACTCCCCAAACTCAGAATTAACTGGTCACCTTGGTCTGTCCCAAAGCAGACTGTCATTCCAGACTTAGTCAAGGGCCACTTCAACAGCACATGGGGGGGAACGCTGGCATCCTTGTTTGGCCATTCAGTTGATTGTCCCACACATGCAACCCAGATTTAACTTCCCATCCACTCCACAAGAGGAGTGAAATTCACAACATTGTGACTTCCAATATTCTCAAAAGCTCTTAGAAATATGAACGCAGAGAGACATAGTGGCAATTTCACTATAGAGATACTCTTTTTCTTACCTCTACTAGTGGATGCCAGTGAGTTATTGGTTTACGGGGATAAGCCAGCATTTCATTCCAGTGATCTCTTCCAAGTCCTTCAGCTTCAATTCCTGTCCTACATACCCCAATCACCTCATTGTGCCCTACTCTGAGGATTAAAAAAGGACAGATTATGTTTTAGAAATGTAAATAGATGTATTAACATCTTTGTAGTTGTTTGGTGCGGTACAAATGTTAAGATGCTCAAAGTGTATGTATCATTAGCACCCAAAAGCATGGCTTAGGGTGCAGATGCCATTTTCACAAAAGATACAACACTACAGATGGGGAATAACATGCAAAAAATAACCATGGTTTTAAGTAGCAAGTTTGTTAATAATATGTATTTTTATTGTGTTTGAAGTGTGGGGAGACAAAAGGTAGGAATGGGAGGAACGAGGCTTCATGCATGCTCCAGGAGTTATTTTAAAATATATGTTTCAGGGAGTCAGTTTTAACAACTAGAGCCTTATGTGTAGAAGTATGATGGAATAATATAGACTTCTCATCAAAGCAAACCAGAAGTATTCATATAAAAATATATATCTTGATATCCCTGGCTCTGCACTAACATATAGAATGACTTTGGGCAAGTAATTTCCTCTCTCTTTTCCTTAGTTCGCCTCTCTATATAACAGGGTAATTATATTTACCTTCCTCTTTGAGATAAACAGACAAAGGCTGATATAAAAGGACTGAATGGTATAATTCACTGTATCATTGTTTCTCAGAAGACTAGACTCTACATCTTTCACAGCCAATGGGGAAACACTCATTGACAAAAATTGGAACAGGTTCAAGAATTAAATGCTGTCAAAATTTTATAGTATTAAATTATTTTACTGCTATAATTTTGAATCTCTCTCAAGCCCATGTCTATTAGTAAGTATGGGTAAAGTCAGATCAAGCATGATTCTACTAGTCCACCTCTAATTTGATTAGTATCACCCACACTATTTTTGTCCTGGGGACGGGTTAGAAAATAGGTCTTCTCCCTTGCACTAAACATTTTGGAAAAAGACAGAATGGAGCGCATCTTTGCCCATAGCAAAATACAGGTGAGTGACATGCTATTGAGTTATCTTCTACCTTCCTATGAAGACACCTCTGCAGAAATGGACCTTGGGATTACAGTGGAAAATAAGCTGAATATGAGCCAACAGTGTGCCCTTGTTGTGAAGAAGGCTAACAGCATATTGGGCTGCATTTGTAGGAGTGTTGCCAGCAGATTGAGGGAAATGATTATTCTCCTCCATTCAGCACTGGTGAGGCCACATCTGGAGTACTGTGTTCAGTTGTGCTCCCCGCCCCACTACAGAAAGGATGTGGACAAATTGGAGAGAGTCCAGCGGAGGGCAACAAAAATGGTTAGGGGGCTGGGGCACATGATTTCTGAGGAGAGGCTGAGGGAGCTGGGTTTATTTAGTTTGGAAAAGAAAAGACTAAGGGGGGATTTAATTGCAGCCTTTAACTACCACTGGGAGACCCCGGTGTCAAAAAACTTCATGCCTTAAAAATGTGAGGCGGCACACATGATGGCAGCGTGTGCAGCCCAAAACCGGAGCCTGGCTGACTGGAGCCATGCTCTGGCTGCCAGCCAGGCTCCATGTTAATGGATCACCATGACTGCAGACCCTGCAGGCCCTCAGGAGCCCAGGTAAGGCTGCTGGGGCCAGCCCAGGTGTTGGCCCCAGCCTCCCCTACCCCACTCGGGGTACTGTGCTGCATGCTAGAGCTTGTGTGCATGGCAGTTTCCTGGGGACAAGCAGCAACAGCACATATTGTGCCACTGCTGTTTGTCTCTGGGAAAATGCATGTTCTTGCTCATGGGAATGTGCAACAAGGAGCAGTGCTCTCAAGTTGTTGCAAGGGAAGTTTAGGTTACTTATTAGGAAAATCTGTCTCACAAGGAGGATAATAAAGCACTGGAACAAGCTATCCAGAGAGATTGTACTATCTCCATCCCTTGACCTGGGTAGACAGAGCCTTGGATGGGATGATATAGTTAGGGATGCCCCTGCTTTGAGTTGGACTAGATGACCTCCTGAATTCCTTTCCAACCCTTATTTTCTATGCTTCTATGATAAAGTGGTCAGGGTCATTGTAACTGGCCAGGGGTAATTAACTTCCTAGATGAACTATTAGCCAGGCCTATGATAGTAAAAATGTCTCTATTGTTTGCATTCAGGGACTAACCCAGTTAGATGCTGCAGCAGAATTATAAACCTCTTACACATGGTCCAACCACCAGAGAAGGGACACAAATGGACACTGCTCAAGTGGGTTGCATTTACATGAAAGTTTTCAGTCATGTTTGTGTATTCTTCAGATTGGTGTTTTTGATACCAATGGGATTAAATTGCAAGAGGCAAGGACATTTTGAGACTCATGCAACGAGTCAAAAGCTATATTTTATTGAGACTGAATGTATCTGAATTACCAGGGAATTAAAAAAAAAGTCACTTGCAATGATCAGGTAATGACTTGCACAAGATTAATATTTTCAGACAGTAAACTATGCTTACCGATCGTAATCCATCACAGCAATGGAGAGGCTGACCTGATCCACATTTTCTGGAGGGATATCAAAGATGATGGCCTCATTATAAACTGGATTGAGTGTGTTTCTCTTTGTGGTTGTTTTCCGTTTTTTCAGTCTTCTCCCCTCACACATCAGTGATACTTTGACATATGGATCTGAGTAACAGGAAGTTGGTTTTATGTAGATAAAATATTGCATACAAGAGCAGTGAGGTCTCTGAAAGTAAATGTTAATGACTACCTATGTTTATCAACATGGTCTTAGTAGCACAAGGTAACCAGAACTATTTCCTCTGCATTCTCCACATCCTGCCTACTCAAGAATAGAGCAAGGAGACAAAACAGACACACCATTCATAGAAATACAGGAAATAGATCTAAGGTTTATGTCTGCCTTAATCAGTTCTCTTGAAAACTGTATGTGGTAACTATCCACATGAAAAGTAGGATTTGCAAGTAGGATATTTTCAGAAGTTAAAAAGACAATTAGGCACCTAAACCATACTGACAGTCAAGGGAGCTTGAAAACACTTGAAAAGTGCTTCAAAATGGGGTTTCAATGCTTTAATTTTTTTATATTAATCTCTTCTCCCTTTGATATTATTTAATAAGGACTGATAAGTCCCCATAAAAGGAAAAGCAAAAATGAAATGCAAACAGTTCGTGAATTAATACAATTAAAAAACGTATATAGTTTTAAATTAATTATATGGAGCATTACATACACTATATATACAAGTTCTTAATGCTTTCCCAATATGGTATCTTTTAAAGATCAAATCTATTCTGAAGAATGGCTGCAGTAAATGAGATTGTGCATTTACATATTTGTCTCAGTGCTTTTCATATTGAGTTTTAATATACGACTTAAAGCAACCCAAAGGACAAACAAAAAACTCCACCAGTCCTATTCTCAGGCTTTCTATAGCATATATCATCACAGTAATAAAAGTTGTGATAACAAAATTATACCTTTTGTTTCACCTGTACAAACTGTTGTCTTCAGCCTATGCTCTCAGTGATAACTACTACCTTCAACAAATTTGCTGTGATAATTTGGAACTTGGGAAACTATTGGGTTGATGGTGCACAAGTTGAATGAGAATCTTCATTTCACTTTTTCTTAGCAAAGTCTTCTTTGCACAGCTAACACAAAGAAAATGGTGTAACCTGCTCTCACATTTTTGTCACCAGCATAAGCAGATGTAATTACATATATATCAATACCTATAATTTGAATATGTAGTTGAATAAGAAATTGCCATTTTTTCATAGCCATGTTTCAGAACAGAAGTCTGCACAGTGAATGAAGAGGAAGAATACGCACCTGAAGAGCCAGTAATGTCCATGGCCTTGAGATTTCTACATTTGATGACTGTTAATGTCATTCTCCCAGCAGTGGGTAAATAACAAAGGGAAAACATGATTTCACCCAAATCTATGCTTTCCTGAAAAGAGGGGGAAAAAAGGTGGTTAGGACTTTGTTATTCATTCCAACAGCTCAAACATCCAAAAATGTTATAAAAATTCTAAGTGTGACTAAAGGAACCTATTTTTGGAGAAGTTCCAGCCTTAGATATTTGTAAAAAGATTATATAACACAAGTTTCTTCAATGGAGATTTATGCAAAACATGAAAAAACAGAAATGCAACAATATTTTAGTGACAGACTTTTGAGTTTCTTGACTGCAGGTTCAACCCAAGGATAACCGCAGAACTCTTGAGCTTGATCGCAGCTGGCAGGACAGGGTGTTGGATTCACAGTCAAGTTCACAAGATGCTGCATTGTAAAATCTTTATATGCCACAAAAGAAAAATGCTAAATTCAGTTCTGGGTGGTACTCAACATTCTACCTTTCCAACCTATAAAAAAGTGGTGAGGTAGCAAGTCTAATGTGTGTAGCCATATATTTCAGCCCTTTTCACAAAGGTATTAAAAACCTGAGTATGTGCACATGTGCATGTGTGCATGAATGATTCCCTTTCACTTTGTAAGAGGATAGAAGAAGTCATTGTCTCTGTGAAACATGGTAACGGGAATTGCTTTACCATTCCCTTTGTGGGTGTTCAACTGTGGAGATGGAAGGAAAGAAAGGAAATCAGCAATATTGCTCATACCATCTCCCACATGCCTGGAAAGAAAATAGGGTTTAGGAAGTGCCATACTGTGCCAGATGGACTAAGGTAAAATGAAATGTCTTCTTCTGGAAGTTAAATATCACTACATAAATATATATATATATACATATATATATATATATATAGGAGGGACATAGGTAATTAATAGGACTAGGATTTAACATAGCAGTGGGGTAGAGCCAAAAAATATGACTTCTAAGAAGCAAAGTATACACGTGAAAAAAGGAGAAATAAATGTATGGGTTCTATTTCTCACTTCTGTCTAAAGCATTTTCCCCACTAAGCAAATAGATTTACCAGGTGGTCAGGTAGATAGAGTTATCGCCCAACCCTAGTAAGAACAAAGCCCTCTAAGGTCACATCCAGATGAGCAGAGGCATACGCTTGCAAGCAACACAAATACTAGTGGCACAAATTTGTGATGCTACTTTGTACTGCCATGTCCAGCTCCTCCTGGCTCCTGGCTAGGCTCCACGTCTATCAGGGAGGGCAGGCCAGTGTACAGAGTGCCTTAGTGTGGGGCTACCCGGCAGACAGCCTCTGCACTGAGGCATCCTGCATGCCAGCCAGGTGGGGAGTGGCATGAGGAGATGGGCAGGTGGCCCTGGGCTGCCTGCTGCCTGGTCTCTGCATTTGTCCAGGTGCACTCTACCTTTGCATGTCTTGCCCTGCTTTTTTCATTGAGGCTTTTTTTGCTACCGGGAAATCCTGGTAGCAAATTTTGCCACCATGCTGCTGATTAGCAGCGTGGCATGCAGTTTAACATGAACGGTGTGCCACAAACCACAAGTGTCTGCATGTATGGATATGGCCTGTTTAAAATCTTAAAGCTCAGAAATGTAAAACAGGACGTTTGATATTAAAAATGAAAGCTCAGATTCTTAAAAGATATATAGGTGCCTAATGCCCGCTGAAATAAAATGAGGTATATATCCACTCCAGTACTTAATGAAGCCAGTGGCTACTTAATCTTTATAAATGTTTGCTATTACATCAAGTTCCCTTAGTAGATAATTATGGAAAAGCAGCCATTGTCTTAGAGATGAACTTTTTTTAATAATAAGCCAAATTATTAGGGGCCAGAGTAAAATCTTTCATTTTTGAGGAGTTGGTCACATAAGTAGCCTTACTGACGTCCACAGGTTCTTAAATTTAGGCATATACTTTAGTGCTGTCTTGAATAAAAACAGATTTAACCACATATTTCAGTATGTTACTTAGTCTGAATTGAAAATTGTAGGTTTTGCAATAGTTTTACTTCTCTATCGTATCCATCATAGGTTCTTCAATTTTGCACGTCAGTTTATGGACAGTAATTTTACAGGGATTTTATTCTGAGAATCAATAGGCTGTTATGCATGCTCATATCCACAGCGGGCACTTTTCATTACTTGAAGGTTTCCAAGGATTTTGGAATGGATTTGATTCCATTTGATCCTCATCTGATGAACTTGGCTCACCAATTTCTTCTCACAGCTCTTACCTTTTGACATATGGACAAATGTTCCTTTTTTCCTCACAGTTTTACTTACAGTCTGAAACACAGACTGAAATGGCATTGGGATCCCAGGTGTGGTAGTAACATGGATCTTTTTGGCTTTTTCAGGATATTTCTTTAAAAATCATAATTCAAGTCAGGCTAACATATTTTGCCTTTTTGATGTCTAATTGTTAGTTTGCTAGACTATCACTAGAATTATCTATACAGTAAAATAATAGCAATGCAAACATATGGAGATGTAAGTGACGTTATAATGCCAGAATGAGGACAATATAGTATTATAGTACAAGTTATGGTACACTAGAAGCAGACATATTGAGGCTAATTTTACTTTCCAAATAGTAGCTGGTTTCTGTGGTTTTATGGACAAATAGAGATCCACTTGACTGTGGGTTAGAGCTTTGGGTGGGATTTTTCTGCTCTGAAAGTTACTCTTTTTTTCCTGAGGTGGTGGGTTGAGTGTAGTTGAGTGGAGAAGAGCTCAGTTTTAGTGAGATGGGTGTATCACATTGAAAATACATGTAATATAAAAGACAAAATTATTTGGGTAGTAAGAGCTTTGGATAGGGTCAGCTATCAAGGAGGAATATCCATATACATTTATTCATATTATGTATACATACATACATACAACAGAGCAAACTCTGTGCCACTGTATTTTGGCCATTTATGTGCCCTCTAGTGATAGTTCTAATCACAGTAGTTTTTAGTATAGGAAAATTCCATTTAAAGGAAATTGGTTGTGTATGAAAAGCAAAATAACATCTCGTAGATTATGAGCAAGCCTCATTGTTTCTGTCCTTTTTTATGTGTCCTACATATGAGAACCACAATACAATGATAATTTTCTATACAAAAGAAATGTAACAGGCTATTTTACAATATCAAATCAAGCTGCAGCTATTGTTTGGCCTGGGTTCCCTGTTACTGTGTCCCATGTTACTCTTTGGCCTAAATAAATAAAAAGACCAAATTGAAAGGCACCATATTGTGAATCTCTCAATAAATTTAAATGGATAAAGCAAAGACCTATGAATTTCAGCCATAGGTAAAAACACACGGGAAACAAGGTACTGCAATAACAGCTTTCACAGCTTGAAATTTACCTTTAGTTTACATCATTTGTGCACTTCTAAGAAAGGAGTACAAGCCTGTTTGGGGCTATAGATGGTTGTACAAAAGGCCAAGAATAGGAAGAGCATGTAAACTAATTTTTAAATAAATATTATTTTAAAAACTTTTTTCACCTCTGTGTAGAAGGAAAAAAGAGAAAAATACAGTCTAGGATATTAGTATTCAAATCACTTTAACATAAAAATGTTATGAAAAATGTGCCCCAGTAGTTATAGAATGCTTGACATCAAAGCAAATTTTGAAAGTTCAATATAATCAGAGAAAATGAGAAAAAAAATATTTTATGTTGTTTTCAGAAGAAGAAAGGAAAAATGACAGGCCATTTTTAATTTGGATATACTTTGGAATAGGCTTAACAAGTAAGATTCATGAATATGTTAGATTCATATAAATGCTACTAGCACAAGTTGAACTTATGCTGAAAGAGGCTGCAATATTACTGTCAACTTCAGAAAATTGGACAAAAGTGTGTTAAGAATCACTAGATAAGTTCAAAGCAACAAAGATGTTTTCAACATTCAGCTGATTTATATGGATGCAGGATGTCACAAATGCCAGAAGACTTAGAACATTAGTAGAGAAAATATATGTATACTCAACAGAACAAAGAAGCAAAAGTTTATGAAAGACTATATAGAAGAATCCAAAATAAACAAGTGGAAGAGTATAGAAGGACTGGCTGACATACAGAGCCATGAATTGTTAATTTCACAAAGGTTATGACATCAAAAGAACATCCAGAATAGAGGATTAATCATGGAACCAGAAACAAGAGCATTGGCCCTCTGGGTACCTGAAAAACTATATGATGAAAGAACTATTAAAGAAAGAACTAGAGTTCAAGTCAATAACATTCGCAGGTCAGATAGTACCTGTGATGTGAAGGTCAGACATGGCAGCAACTGGTTGGAACTGTTTCAGTGCCCATTTCATTATTTCCTACAATACTGAGCAAATTATCAAGGCTTCATAAATGATTAATGATGATGATGATGTAATTCCAGGCTTGAATCAGCTTTTTCTTTCCTTTATATTTCACATACTGATGATATATTGAAAATGACTTTGAAAACCTGTCATTCAAATGTTGTACACTCAACCAATACATTTGACTTCTTTGTGAAATATGCAGGTTGCCTTGTATATAAAGATAAAATGCTGTTCCTAGCCAAACGATGCTGCATTACATATACTTCAAAAATAAAATAAAAGGAAAGCTGAGAAGCTTAGAAAGCATGGATATGACACAAAAAGTAGGTTATTCAGAGTTAGTTTATTCCACTCCATAGTAACCTTATTTTGGTTGGACAAGAACAATGAGGAAATCCTGGCACTTATCCATCAGAAGAGAGCCGAGTTCTGCAGTTGGCAAAAATGAGAGGCTTACCACCGACTCAAAGCTGTAGTTCAGAGGAGGCTATGGGACATCAAGAACCAGTGGCAGCAAGCAATGGCCATGGAGATCCAGAGTTTTGCTAACCAGTATGAGATGAGAAGCTTCTTTCAAGCAATAAAAGCCATTCATGGGCCATATTCCAATGGCGCAACCACCTTGTGATCCCTTTTCAGGGATAATGTATCCATCAAGCAATGCTGGATGGAGCACTTCAAGACTCTACTTGACAGTGAATCTGAGGTCCAAGCTGCCACCATGAAGTCCATCCTTCAGTACCC